CCTTGCTTCACCAACAAGGTTCTCAACAAGCAGAGTTGTTGAGAGAACAGGGTTCTCAATAGTTTGAACTGTTGAGACAGCAGCAGGCTGCTGCTGGTGGGTCGATGCACTCGGGTCGACTTGAGACTTTAGAGATTGACATCTCTAAGTACGGGGGAGTCGAAGAGGACTCCCTCATGAGATGGTTCGTCAATTGGATGACGCCACAATGGCGCGTCGCACCGACGACGGGGATATGCAAGTTGCATTTGCCCAGTCAAATTTGGCAGGACGTGCCAAGACTTGGGCACTGTGGCTCAAGTTGCACGACCCATATGCGTTCGGGTCGTTAGAAGTCTTCAAGTCGCGGCTCAGACAAACGTTTGAACCGCCTAGAGCTGAGTTCAGAGCTCTAACCGAACTCTTGAAGCTCAAACAGGGTAAGCGTGATGTGCACGATTACGCGCAACATATTCGACATCTTACGAGTTGTATAAGCTCCAATCCGGTGGATGAACACATGTTGGTTTCGGTGTTCATGCAGGGTCTTGCGGATGGTCCCGTCAAGACTCACCTGTTCCGGCTTGAACTAGATTCACTAAAACAAGTCATTTCCATTGCGGAACAGGAAGACTTCAGTCTGAGACAGGCTCGCGCCAGCTCGACATCATATCGTCAACCGAGGCGATATGACAACGGAGGTCCAGAGCCGATGGAACTCTGTTATGTAGAGAGCGATAAGGCTCGCTCTACGAACTACAAGAAGTTGCAGAAATGCAACAGATGTCAGAAGACAGGACACTACGCTTACGAGTGTAGTGCCCCTCGTCCAGTGTCTCGCAACACTGGGCGTAGTGACCGTCCACCCATGAGAAAGGGGCAGGGACGCGGGTCCGCTGTTGGTGCAAAGACGCAACAAAGGGATGAACCGTCAAAAAACGGACAGGATCAGTAGGTGCGGAGCACCCTACTGGTTCAGCAAATTCAAGAGAATTTGTTGGCCTCTTGATGGAGGTTGCTCCCTACACACAAACGTTGTGCGTTGCTGCTCTAGGTAATGAGATCTCACTGATTACCTTGAAACTCGAAGTGACGAATAAGTTGTCACTTCGAGCTCTAGTCGATTGTGGGGCGTCCAACAATTTTGTGCGACGCCAATCGCTAGAAGATGGTCACTTTAAGTTCAGTGAATGTGACATACCTCCTACGAGGATGACGTTACGTCTTGCGACAGGCGCATCCGTAACCGTCATGAAGCGTATAGTGAAGATTCACTATACGCTAGAAGATACCCAATATGACGATGACTTTATCGTATTGGATTTGGATGACAAATTTGATGTCATCCTTGGAATACCGTGGCTCAGAAGGTACGAACCACGAGCAAACTGGCAACATTGGACAGTAACGATGCCTGCCGCTTGTTCTTCAGATGGCCATCTGATGAACGTTTCGGAGCGTCCACAAGCGTGTGGATGTACTACGAGTGAGTGCGATGTTGTGGTACGGTCGTTAGTACGACTGCACAAAACCTTAGTGTAACAAACGGTTACACTTTGGAGCAAAGTTCCGGCGGCTGTGAGGAAACACAGGTTGTGCCGAAGGTCCACCACTCGAATAAGTCGAGTGGACCGGGACAACGATGTATCCCTAGCGGGGAACATCTAGAAGAGAAACCATCGATCGCTCAGGTTAAGCGAAACGATAATCCTAGATCGACTGTAGAGTCTTTCGTAGAGGATCTCGCTGTGGTTGCGCAACCCCAGCTAGAGGAAGTTCAGGGAATAAGTCCCGATATTACAGATACGGTGGAAATAAGTTCCCCGAAACCCGCGGGAATAAGTCCCCGGGAAGCCGAAGGAAAAGGTCCTTCGAGGCCTGAGGGAATAAGTCGCCAGGAAATGACAGAGACACTGAATGTTCTATTCAATGATGGATCAAGTGTAGGCGCTATACACTTGATCTGATTGCGCCTCCGAAGTTGACTTCGGAGATCACTCAGTTGCTAACGCTCGAACATATAAGGTTCTTGCATGATCTGCGTAGTGGCAAAGTCAAGCAGATCTGCGTACTCGTCGCTGACGACGAGTGTGTAGCCGACATAAGGTCAGCAACAGTGTTTACTGAGAACGAGAGATTTCTCAGTAGTTCATCTATGGACGAGAGTGTCCTAGATGAAAAGACACGAGTTGAGCGATATGACTCCCAATCGTGACCATCGCTCAAGACAATTCCTCTCTACGAAGATTTGGTTGAATTCAAGGATGTATTCCCTGAAACCGTTCCGTGCGAGTTACCGAAGGATAAAGGTATTCGACACGAGGTCGAGCTTAAACCAGGCTCGAAGTACTGTGTCATGAAGTAGTGGCCGCTGCCTCGTGAACAAGTACTTGTGATCGACAAGTTCTTTGCCGATCGTTTAGCTGCGGGCCATGTGAGGGAATCAACTTTTCCACATAGCTCTCCGACCTTCTGTGTGCGAAAAGCGACAGGAGGGTGGCGGATAGTGCATGCATCTAACAAGTTGAATGCTGCAAGGGTACCGGCTCAGACGCCGGTACCAAGGAAGGATGTCATCATAGATGGTATGGCAAAGAGTACCATCTTTTCGTCCATGGATTTGATGGATGGCTTCTATCAAATCCTTATGCGAGAACGGGATATACCCTATACCGCAGTGAGCACGCCTAGCGGCATGCTCTGATAATGGCTCGTAATGCAACAAGGACTTAGTAATACCCCTGCCACGTTCAACAGATGTGTATCACATCTGTTGAGACCAGCGCAAGAGTTCGCACCGAGTTATTTCGATGACGTTTTCATTCATAGTCGAGCTATGGATGAAAAGTCGGACGTTGAGGTTCACAGATACCACGTCCGACAGGTTCTTACAATTATGCGAAAGCATCAATTTGTATGCCAATCTCAAGAAGTGTATATTTGCAGCAAGCGAATTATCACTTCTTGGGTGCATCGTTGGTAAGAATGGTGTACGTCCTGATCCCGAAAAGATCAAGGCGATCACCGACCGGCCTGTGCCAGTTGATGTTCAGGGTCTTCGAAAATTCCTTTGGCTAGCGGCGTATTTGCACAAGTATTCACGCAATTACGCCGAGATGACTATACGCCTCTCTCGTTTGTTGAAAAAGAACGAGAGGTGGTTATGGAACGCTGCATGTTAGCGCTCCTTTGATGGTATCAAGCAGAGCTTGATACAATCCCCAGTCCTAGCAATAGTCGATCAGGACAGTCCATTTCATGTAGTCTGTAATGCCAGCGATATCGCAATCGGCTGTGCATTAATGCAGTACGATCTTGAAGGCGTTGAACGCGTCGTCTGCTATCGGTCGCGTCAGCTGCAACCAGCTGAGAGGAACTATCCAGTGCATGACAAGGAACTCCTTGCCATGAAGTATGCACTCGCGAAGTTCAGAGTCTATCTATAAGGAGATAGACCCTTCATTGTTTACACTGACCATGCGTCGTAACGCACGGCAGTAAACAGCCCGCACCTTTCACAACGAATCGCGCGGTGGTTGTCATTCTTTGCAGAATACAACTTTACGGTTGAGTACAAACCAGGACGACTTCATGTAGTCGCTGATGCACTCTCACGTCGGCCCGACTTTGAACCAGTCGTGAAACCCAACAGTGAGAAAGCCACTGTTGCGGTAATGACGTCCTCAATACCATCTTCAACGTTATATGATGATGTGAGGCGAGCGTATTCCCAAGATGGTGAGATTGTAAAGCTGATGACACATCTCTCACAGCCATCTCGAGAATCGTTGAAACGATTATCGTCTGCGTATCGATCTGCATCAGATCGATACACTACTCGCAACGGTTTACTGTATTATACAGCCGTGACTGGTGACACACCACGTGTTGTCATTCCAGATGATACTGATCTGCGTTTGCGGATCATGTTCGAGAATCACGATGCTCCTATAGGAGGACATCGTGGCCGGGAGAAAACATATCTCACGGTGAGTCGAGACTTTTACTGGCCCCGCCAGTATCAGTTTGTGCGAAAGTATGTTCGCGCATGCGAAGTCTGTCAAAGAGTGAAGCCAAGTCCTTCACTGCGTGCACCTTTACAGCCTCTACCAGTTCCGGCAGAGTGCTGGGAATCCATCTCAATGGATTTTGTCTTCCGGTTACCCAAAGACGCACGCGGGAATACGGGTATCCTCGTATTTGTTGACAGATTCAGCAAAATGGTCCACCTCGTGGCTGTACGTCAATCACAGCAAGTGGCTGTGCTTGTGTCTTTATCGACACCATCTTCTGACTTCATGGGTTGCCCCGTGAACTCTTATCAGACAGAGATCCACGCTTCACTGCTGATTTCTGGCGTTCCGTGTTCAAATCACTCGGAACGCGCTTGAAGATGTCGACATCTGATCATCCAGAGTCAGATGGTCAGACGGAACGAGCCAATCGTGTCGTCGCAGAGATACTTCGAGGATACGTACACTCCTTCAAGAGTTGGAGTGAGCTTTTGCCAATGGTATAGTTTGCCATTAACAACTCGGTGCATGCGTCCACGACACATACACCGTTTTACGTGAATGGCTTGCGCCATCCGCGTGTACCCACCTTACTAGAGTGTAACTCTGGTTTATGGGGGGAGGGACTCGCGCGAGCAAAAAACGATTTGGCTCACGCTCATCACGCTCTGACGAAGAGGTCATTGCGTTAGATGCCGATATCGACAACATCGATATCGAAGAAAATGATGCCAGTGAGAGCTAGGAAGCCCTCACTAAAGAAACGATTGATGTCGCTGCAGCGCACTCACAGCGCACTGAAGCCAACGAGTCAGCAGATGCGATCTGGCTCGTGATATGGTAGTCCGTTTTGTGCAAGACTCTATCGCCGAAGCGGTGGATAAGCAAAAGCAAAACGCAGACAAGAATGGAAGGGCAAACACTCTTTTAAATAAAGGTGACTTAGTCCTACTGTCTACGGTTAACCTACCAAAGCATGTAGTGACTAACTTGGGTAGTAGTAAACTTCTACCCAAGTACATCGGCCCATTTCGTGTATTGCATCGCCTAGGCAACGCATACAAGATCGAGTTACCACGTAAGATGCGAACGCATCCCACGTTTTACGTTGGTCGGCTTAAGTCGTACCATCGTTAAGTTGGCATTACAACGGACATGCGACGAATACCAGTGCAGGCATATATTTCCTTCCGGTCGTTGAGACGGGAACATGACCAGAGTATCTGGCTGCTTCTTTCGATGTAGAATACCCTTGCGCTCAAGCATCTTGCAGAGAGCCTTGTGCTCCCGATGGTGGGCATCGACAAGGGTCTGAAGAGCAGATATCTCATCCCGTGACCGATCAACAATCCCACGAGCTACCCTTAGCTCGTCACGCAGAGACGTCAGAGCTCTCTCGTTCTCAAACTGAGCAAAAGCAAACTCAGCTCGATGCTTCGAGCCAGTGTCCGCCAGTTGAAGACGCCCGTCCCGCTCATGCTCGAGGTAGCCGCGCAACGCAAGAGTTCCGCGATCAAAGAAGCTCTCGGGAACACACCGATCCACATGATCGTGTGGAGAGCGTCTTTCCTCCTCCTCCACCTCCATTAGAGGACTCTAGCGGTGGCCAGCGCTATCTGGTTGAGCGGCTGTTGAACCACCGCGACGTGAACGGACGTCGGACGAGTTATCTCGTCCGGTGGCGCGGCTATCCCCCGTCCTGGGATACTTGGGAGCCCCGCTCCCAACTGATGGTTGACGTACTGGGTCTGGTCGAGCAGTACGATGCGGCACATCCTGTGCCGCAGAAGGACCGCCGGAGAATGTCTTCCCGGCACGGTCGTAAAGGGATTTCAGGTTGTCAATCCCTTCGTAAATCTCAGTAGAGATACGTACGCGCCACCACGGGCTAGTAAGGACGTAAGCCTCCTTAGGTGCGCGCTCGAAGTTGTTTACACAACAAGGGCACGAGTCTCCCAAGGAGAGACAGGTTAACCCACCCTCCTTAGACAGACGATGCAGCTTGTAGCGTGCGCCTGTCGAAGTTCTTTTTTTCTCAAACTTATCACGAGCTTTGATAAGTTTGTCGTTCCAAGCGTCACGACCTACCTCCTAAAGGTTATGGATGTAAGCGTTCCATGCATGAAGCAGTGAGGGACCATCACGTTTGTGATTTCCACTGTACCATCGATGGTTAAAGAAAACATCGATGAAGAACTCATGTTCAGTGTGATAGTTCTCGCGCTGGGGTCAAGGTGATGAATCCTTGATGAATTGAACAATCGTGTTCGATAGCGATCACTTATCGGCGACGACAATTGATCCATGACGGATTTAGGAGGCAGCCATGATTTCATTTCAGGATCGAGACGCAATACACTGCGATCCCGCTCTTCTTGCGACGTACCGACAGAAGTACTGGCACCCCGTTGCGAAGTGGTGTCAATAGGAGAACCGACACCACTGTGAGCGCCCGAGTCTTGCGATCTCAAGCGCCTTCACTTTGGCGGTGGTTTATCTGATTCGTCAGACGAACCAAACATGCTACGATGTGTAGCATCATCCATGCCACGCTTGACAGGACGCTTGGTTTCAACCGCCTTCAATACGGATCCCTCTTCCGTATCAGGAGAGTACGAGACATCGAGCTCATGCTCTGTGAAGACATGAGTGTCTTCATGACGAGCGTCTGCGTCACCAGGAGATACAGACTGAGACGCAATGGCAACCGATGACACATCGGTTGCAGCGGTTTCTGCTTCGGCGTCCGCACAGAGACGTGCAGACGCGCTCTCAACGGCCTTGTTCGCGCACCGCGCGGACTTGTTTACCATGCGATGAAACTGATGGACTGTGGACTCGGACCAACAAGTGCAAATCCCGTCCCGAATGATTTGGGACGAGTATCCATTTAGTTAATCAGTCACTAAAGTGACTGATGGTTAGAGGGGGTGATGTAACGGGGTGAATCATTACATAACAATTTATAAGAAATTGTTAATAGAATATAACTAAAAGAGCTGTATTCTCAGAATATTGTCATAAGGACAAATATTTTGTAGCACTTACGAGTAGTTCCTAATTGGTTGATATAGGCCATTATATCAACCAACGAAGACGCGCCACGACAGACGCACGCAATGAGTGGTGAGCAGATTGTTGATGTACACATTTGTATTTAGACATAGTTAGATGAGGATACACAGTGATTTATTAACAGACATTAACTATTATAAATACAGCTCTACTTTTTACTTTAACCAAGTACTCGCTTCTCCTTACCGTCTTCCCCTGCACATACCAGTAGTGTACGTGAAGTTACGAGGCACCGCCTTATTCTGTCGTCGGAATAAGTATCTTTTACTGCCATCAGTACAAGCTTCAGTGTGCCCCGATACAGATGGCCCACCTCTTCCATGAGAACAATTAGCATCTTTTTGGATTCATACTAGACAATGTTGCTAAGCACCAAATAGTCGCAATCCTCATCGGGCGCTCCGGCTACGGCGTTAAGGTACATCAGTTGTTCAGTTCACGATATTTATGTAATCTTCGGGCGCGTATAAAGATCCGTGGTTTATGCTGGCGAAATATTTTTTTAATGCCTTAAGCATACGTTTTAATACTTATTGAAAGATCTTATTCTGGCTCCACAATAAATAAATCTGATAATTGAAGTACATTTCAGCCATTTCATCTAACAATGGCCAAGTAAGTCCACCTTTACATCTTCAAGCCAACAGAATCCAGTCGCATACTATACCAATATAATTTGATGTTCAAAACGCCTTCTACACATTAAGAAACCAATTCCTAACCACTTGTACAATATTTTGCCATCGAAAGAGCGAATGTGCAGCTCTTTATTTCTTAAATCTGGGTGGGTACTCAAACATCTTTCTTGCTTCCTGCGCGGATGGGGCTACTGGTATGCTGGCTATTCCACATCGGTTATCTTTATATGATTCGTAAGCAGAACTTCACCAGATCTAGGGCCACAATATGGCTAAAGAATGAAATCGTTGTGACAGATGCGCCTCGGCATGAGAATTCGAGCAAGAACTTGTAGCTCAAGTGGTTTGGTGTGACAGCTTCATGCGAGATGTTACTTGTTCAATAACCAGTGACTGCAACATAAACTTCAAACCTTCGGGTACTGGTGTGCCGGGGTCCACCACCACTGTCCTGCCAGATCGTGACGTCCCCCATGTTAAAAACGTACAACGAGACGATTAATCATGCAAGATGAGACGATAGATAACGTAGAGTCAGAAATAGTTCAGTAGGCTTAAAGGAGCAACAGAAGGTTGTGAACTAAGAACCTAAATATATTCGATGTGCATTTTGCCAACTTCGGTCAATTCCTTTAGTAATTAGAGTCTCCATAGTCAGGTTAGATGTTGGCAAAATATCCATTTTAAGTAGATTAACATCTTTCCTTCTTTTGACTTTCTTTCAGTCATTTTAGACAGCAAATCGAGATGCATTCTGGAACCACTCCTCAAGGCAGATTCGTTTTTTGGTCTTCTTTCAGGAGTCATTATATAATCCTTTGGTACCTTTTTTCTTCTTCGCCTCGTTTGCAACTTCCTGAGAAGTTCCGTTTGCGAGCTCTCCAGACAGTCCAAACCGCCAATATAAGCTTCTTATAAGGTTCAACAAATCGTTGTTGTTGTAAATGAGAGTGTCGTACTAAGCGCGATTGCGCAAGTGCGCGCGGCTCGACGACGGGAATGGCGGTCACAGGCTCGGTTATAGCATCGTGCATACGTTGAGTGACACAGTATGCGGAATTTGCAGATCGAATGGAAAGGAATGGTGTCGAGTAAAGAGTAGAAAATAATTAAATAACATCAACGAAAGAATCATTTAACTACGGTGCTAGAGAGTGCTATCTCTACATCGGACATTTGTTTCCACCTTAAACGCTTGCCTTTGTTTTGCTTATATATTAAACCTTTACCTTCTCAGCGGCCCTTTCTCGACCAGGAGCATATGCGCGTGACTACTTTTAATTCTCCTGATCCGCGCATCCGTGCGCGAAGCCCACCAATTGGCTCATACCAGATATATGTTCGGTCCCACTGCTTCGGATACCGAGGGAACACGAAGTACGAACACGTTGTTTCTAGTAGAACAATTAAGTCTGCATCTGGACTAAGATTCGATAAATGCACGGAAATACGAGAGGCCATCTGCTCCACGCAACAAATGCCATGTATTTCACGTAGACACATGCAATACAGACCACCGCTGTGTGATCTCCTTCAACCGCAAGGCCCACTTTAAGATCGTTAAACGTGCAACAATGGCAACATTATTATAAGTGCTTCTCACAGATGACCAATCTATACTGCTACCTATAAAAGCTTCAATGTGGTCTATTAAATAGAGGGTTCCATAGCATATAGTGACGGACTTGCTGTCAGATACTGTCGTACAGACTTTTCTCCAATACGAATTTCTTTGCTATTGAATAACGTCTGCTACAAAATGTAATTTGATCCCCACCGACCCCGTTCTTTGAGCACAACGGAATGCAAAATACTCGATAGTCCACATATTCCATAATAGGGAGAAGCTTTTCAGCTATCGCAACCCAGAAAGCTGAAGACCGGGGTTTTTATATGTGAAAGAGTGGTTAAAATGACGAATACGATGAATGGAAACTACTGAAGTCAGAAGTCTACTGAAGTCAGGAATCGAGAGGAGTCTGGGTGGTGCCAGCAGTAAGGAGGTCAAATCAAAGTTGTCGAAGGTCTTCAAGAGTGACACGGTGGTCCTCGCCAGAAAGATCAAGAAGGAAGATGTTGAGTTGGAGACCGTTTGTCTTTTCAGCCTTGTAAAGTCCATCCGCCTTCTTCTCCGGTGCAGAACCTTCCTCCTCCGATTTCAGTACCTTAAAAGCTTCACGACCTCTTCATCCGTCAGCTCCATTGTGCCGACTCGTCTTCCTCGACCTGGTTGAGGAGATTGGCAAGTGATATGGAGTTCCGAAGCGAAATTTTTCTTAAAGCCGCTTCCAGTTTTTGTTACACCAGCTGCTACTCCATTGAACTAGCTTGATCCTAAATAGATAACCAGATCCACTTTCCTGCCTTTCAGCAGGATCAGTCATGAGTACAGTGTAGTGGAAACAATTTTTGATGGTGGCGCTTGAAATCACACTTTGTGCCACCAGGGACCAGCGCATTACCGTGAGATGATCGACCTTGTAAAGGTTAAGCTTTCTGCGCTCGTCCCAATCCAAAGTGTTCTGAAGGTGGGAACGTTGGTAGTGCCTGGAATGCGGAGATGGTTCCAGAATCCATCGGCTGGACTTTAGACCTTGTATTGGGTGGAAGAGTCTAAACCTTGATGTTTGTGATAAGTAGATCGGCAAGGATATGCAAAGGAGCACTAATAATCAAAACAAGGATATTTCGGCTCTGTGACTGAGAAACGTTGTTGACATTTAGGTGAAAATCTTAGATTGACAGGTTCAGGAATGCGTACAAATCTTCATCTTTGCATCGAAATTTTGAACCACTCTTGGTAAAGAAAACCCAGCTTTCAAGCCTACTTGTTTGACTTGTAGACAAGGACAAGCTGGGCGGCTGTCTACCTCGTGAAGCACCGAGGTTGCTTGGCTTTTACAAATTGAGACAGGAGAAAGATCGTCGGATTCATCTGCGGTTTCGGTGAGGACAATAGTAATGGTCGTCTGATTGTTTCGTCAGCATCAAAAGCTACAGGTAAAATCGATAAGGACCAGATGCTTACCTTTTACTTTTTGGTCCCTTTAACACTATTTTTGAACAAAGGTCTGTCGGGAATGATGCTGAAAAAACGTTCGACGGATGAGCTTTAAGAAATCTCCACAGAATTACGAATGACAAAACGCACTTCAAACTTGCATAAAAATCGACAGTTGCGTATTCCATCTCATCTCTACACTGTTAGTTCTGACATGTCCGCCTATCTTTGACTTATGATTTTGAGTACGTTCTATATATCCATGCAAAGAAGAACGACCAATTTTATCAGATACAGCCATAGTCATCAGTTTGCTGGTCGACTGCATTGCTCTGTTCACACATGTTTAAGCGTTGCTCCTGAAATCCAATGAACGGTTAGAAATTCCCGCTATCTAATTTTGCTAGCTCACTGAACTTAGTTGATTGCCTGTCCTATCAGTGGGAAAATTTAAACAGTTTTTGTACCGGGCTCTCTATCTCGGCATTTATGTAGCCGAGCATGAGACGATCTGCATTTGCGTCTCAGATTTCATAGCTCACGCCAATCATATAAAACTTTTCAGCGTGCAATATACTCTGTACTGCCTGCTTATTCGTCTTATCGACGTACAGTTGAGACAATTCGCCAGTATTCTATTATGAAACCGATGATGTAACTAAAATGGGCTACCATCAATTTTGAAAAGCAAAAGTAGCTAGAGAAAACCAGATAATCTTCATTTAGGGTTTCTTTGAATCGGCAGCGTGTTTTAGCCCTGAAGGTATCCAGGTAGTCTTGCCCTAGCACGCAATTTGTACAACCAACCGATCCTTTAAAGCCAAGGTCTGTCGTTTTAATCTATCAAATTTAAAGGTCGGTCTAGAAATACCTTTTTAAACCCATACTTTTTAGATTTTTTTTTATTTCAGCTGGTACAATAAAAATCAGGCATATATCGGAACGATGAGACGAAAATTACGTCGCTAACACGATTGTCACGTGTTTTGAAGCTGATTGGATCCATGTGGTAATACCCAGATTCAACATACCTAAGTTTTACGTAGGTTATGCCAAAGCATGGCTTACATGGAGCACTCGCTTCAAAATCTGAAATTAA